AAATGTATGTGAAGAAGGGAATGTGCATGGAACAAGGATTTATATAAAGAAAACCATAATAATCCATTTCTATGCATTAAGATCCATCCCTTTAAAATATTACAAAGACTGCTATTTATAGTGATCATGTCGACGCAATCACCATTGGATCAGATCCACATTGCCTCATCTGCTAGACCTGGGTGTCACGTCATTTTATTTCACATTAATTACATTGACAGACATTTGAAAAGGGGTTGGCCGCCCTACACTCATAGCTTATATTCTTGGCATCTACTTAATGAGAATGTTATATCAATCATTCCTAAAGATACCCTTATCAGACCCACTTTTGAGAACCATGAACATCGGGTGTAAAGGAGTTTAACAGAAGGAAGAAAAGCACTTCGGCTAAACGATGAGAGCACTTCAACAGTGGGGCCTCGGCCAATATCCCTTCCTTTATTCTTGATTAAATGCCACGTGTGTGCACACGGTTCTTCCACGTGGCCCCATTTGAAGCGTTACATATGGTCAATAACAAAAACCACATCAGTTTAAAAGGAAATTTTGCTGGAATTTTGCCCTAGAATTTCCTCAAATCTCGCTAGCACACCAGGAATTTTCCTATTTGTCTCTCCAAAATTAAACAATTTTATGGCATCTTTTGGAATTCTACAAGTCAAATTCGGTCTCACTGTATGCAAAATGGAAACTCTGATCACCTTTAGCTGATATGTTCCTATTTGTTGTTGAGGACATTTTCTTTTGGCTTTTTTAAGGAAAACTACACCAATAGCTTGAACAAGTGATAAAATGATATCCTAAAGCAATATTTTTCCTCTCTTGATTTTGATATTACTTTTGAAATCAACGACAAATGGCTTCAAGAATTAAAAAAGGTCTTACGAATTTACACCAACCAAATATGGAAATTTCATAATGAACAACGGAACAAAAAAAATACTTGTTCAAGTTGTCAAAAAAAAAAAAAAAAAAAATTTAACGGAGTTAAGTTGTAAAAAAAACAATCACTTCTTTTCATTAAACTTGAATAGTTTCTAACAATCCCTCTTTTGTTTAACAGTTTAAGCATGAATAAGAAGACTTGCAATATACAAATTTACTGAATTTATGCTTATGGTAGCGGTATATTTTGATTTCAACCTTTGCCGCGGCAAATTAGTTGCAAGTATTTGTCAAAATTCCAAGTAGCTAAAAAGCTTCAAACCAGTTATTCGTTATACATTTCCACAAACATTATACACAATGCTCTAGTGTTATTTTATTTCACTCAATTCTTGCTTAGCACTTTTTATGGTTTTATGCTCTTAACTTGCGAACTTCTAAAAGAAACTTCAACTCCCAGTGAAGAGAGTATCACCTTGAAGTTCAAAGTTCTTTTAGCATCTTTGATACATTTTAACATAGATGTACCTTGTACTGAATTTCGTTAAAACTTTATAAAACTCTTAACCCTTTGATTGTGGCAAACAACACTAGTGTTAAAACTATCTAGTTATCAGAGTACCTCTTTGAACAAAATTATACTTATTTTGTGTAATTACTAAGGGATGTCATCATGGATGAATTTATTAATCAAGGAGTTTCAACCACATCCTTTTCAATGTTGATTTTATTAATTCTCTAGAAAAAGGCTTAGTAAAAACATCAACTTCTCACTTGCCATTACTTAGGTGAGAAAAATTATTTTGTCCTTGATTAATTTTCTCACACAATCATGTTTTAAATTCGTATGTCTAGACTTCACGTTCTACATTGCTATTTGCTTATATTAAAGTTACTTTGACTATCATATAAGATAGATATCAAATATATAATTATTGTATCCAAACTAATTATTGCATAGATTAAAATGAGGAAATAATTCGGGAAAATTATCTTGTAGCTTGCTATTTAACTTTACATTTCAAAAATCTAGATTTAAGTTATTTTTTTCAAAAGTCAGATATCACACACCAAAATAACCTAACTGACTCAGCCTCCATCCCATCAAAGTCGGTCCTGTAATTGTCAGGGGCTTGAGGTGAAGTCCGTAAATTAGGCCCCCCAACGAAATCAACGTAAATGTAAAATTCAATGGTGTATTATGCGAAATATTGCTAATTTAAAAAACTAAGATTAAAACAACAACCAAATATATTATAGAAAAGATTTATATTATAAACTATCAAAACCAACAATATTTCAAACAGTTAGTTAAATACTATTCGTCTTGCCGTTTTAGAGGCAAAAACATCAATCAAATCTGAATAATTTAGGAGCTGTTCTCTTCGTGTTTGAGTTTTGTAATTTTGAGTTTCGAATTCATTTTGGATTTTGTGTTTTGAGTGTTCGTTTTGAGATTGTTGAAAACACGTTCTTTTTGTCATTTTAGAAAACCATTTCTCAAAACACGAAATTGAAGAATGCATTTACTTGTAAATTTTGAGAATAATTTTTTATAACATTTTCTTCAAAAAAACCATCACAACGCCACCACAACTCCACCGCAAAACCGCCACCACGAGAATCGCCATTGCCAACGTCGGGCCCAACCACAACAGCATCGCAAGTGACGAATCGGTCATGAAGCTGCTGTGGTTTGGAGTAGCATCGCCTCCCCACACCGACACCAACACCGACGCCACCTCCATCAACCACTCCTTCGTCATCGGAGTCAAGAAGGGAGAAGGAGGAGACGGCCCAATGGAGAGAATGAAGATGGAAGTCTCAAGGCCATCCAAATTTTCTCTTTCTTCTATTTTGGCGTGTTTTGGGTTTTGGACGTGTTTTTAATATTTTCAACAGAAAACACTCAAAACGACCTTTTGGTCGTTTTGTGTTTTCTTCACAATTTTTTGTTTTGTTTTTGAAAACGCGTTTTCAAAAATTTAAAAGAGAACACGTTTTCATCGTTTTGAAAAATCGAAAACAAAAAATGGCCAGAAAACGCCAAAGAGAACAGCCCCTTAGCTACTCAATCATTTTTTTCTCTATTGATAACATAGCCAATTGTGACATAATTGATCGGAGATAAGTCTTGATCTACTTCAATTTTGAGAAACTTCTTTCCGCAAATATAACTGTAACCAGTATGGTTAACAAAATTTTGTAAGTAATATAAGCATTTGGAAAACAAACATTCAATGTGTTCAAATATTGTAGCACTTCAATTGTTCTTGTTGCTTCACTTGATATATAACACTTCAAGACTTGTAACTCCGAACATAAATCATCTCCGCTGATGTCAGAACGCCCATCATGTTGAAGATATTTCTCAAAATTCATACAAGATTTCAACAAACTTGAACAAGTTGCACTTCTTAACCTCTTCAAATTAAACAAAAATCCAAATGTGTCATCATATTGTTGAATTGTTCAAATCAAATTCTCAGAAAAGAGAGAGCTTGATCAATTATAAAAAGAAAGTTCTCAACTCTAAAAGATTCTTCTGCTGATTACTTTACTTCATCACTACCGCTTTCATCAAATTGCATTTTTCTCAGAATTATGAGTTCTTCTGTTAATACAGTTTCAATTCTCATTTCGCTTGCTTTTTTTTTTTTTCGCTTCATCCTTGGCAATAGCAAATCCAATTTCTTTATAATCTTCAAAAAATGAAACAAGTCCTTGCAAGTGGTCGATAGCATGATCAATATCCATAGTTTCGATTTGTAGAAATTTACTCACAATAATGACAACGACAGCTGGAGAGGAGAAAAAAAGAGAACTGCTGGCCGCCTAGGATTGGAATAGAAAAGGGAGGCCGCTATTGGTGAATTAGAGAATTATATATACAAAGCAGAGAATAAAAAGCCCTTTGTGTGGGGAGTTAACTGGAGGGATTAAAAGAAAAGAGAAAAGGCGGGGGCAATTGGTGGTACCTGGGGGGAATAAAAATTTTGGGCTGCTAATTTCAAAAGAAGATATACTCATTCCCACAGGAACACACCAATGAGGAGCTAGGAGCCAAAAAGAGGAATTTATATACACAAAAGACAGCTGTTTTGGAGAGAAAATAAGGCTGCCTACTGCTGGGAATTCACAGAGACATACGCACACAGAAAAAGAGGAAAAGACACGAAAATATAGAGAGAGATAAAAGACAGCGACAGGACGTGGAAATTGAAGACACACGCAGAAGGCTGAAAAATTGGAAAAAAAAGGGCAGCTTTAAGTGGAAAATTAATCACTTGTTGTCAATTTCGGTGATGACTTTCCACTTTTATTTGTTTAATCCCTACATTATGTTAGGCTAAATAATTTCATGTATTAGATGATGACAAAATTGTTTAATTTCTAGTTTTAATTTGAGACCTATGTTTTTATGTTAATTTTGCATTGTGATTCCATTAATATGCTTATTTATATTGTTTTAGTGTTTGCGCACCATTAGGACAATAAATTGCTTATTCGTAGTGTTGAAAAACTCACGGTAGGTAGAACACTATTATTGGAACACACGGACAATAAATATTAGGAATAATATTTGTAGCGTGTGCGATCTTATGTGATAATTCTAAATGTCAATGCATGTTTACCATCTGAAGTCGGACTAGGAATATGATCGTCTCGTGGTAATCATAAATTTATTATATCTTGAAAAAAAATAATAAATAATAGTAGAATTATCGATCGTCGCAACTGCATAAATTGAGATAATTATTATTTGTTGAGATATAGAACTAAGAATTGATCAATGGCATCGGAAATCCAATAAGTTTACACATTTGAATTTTTAAACCAATTTTAATTATTTTCACAAGTTTTAGTTATAAACATTATTTAGCTATTTTTTTCGATCGTCTTTTAGTTACAAACATGAATTTAAATATATCAAATATACTAAAATTGATCCTTATTCCATGTGAGACGATAACTCTCTCTCATCACGATTATTACCTGTACAACGAACCCGTACGCTTGCAGAATTTTGATGAACAGCAAGAACTCAAAATCCTCAAGTTCATGTGTTGCTAATGACTCGACTTCACTCTTCATTTTAGGATCTTCATTACTTTTTGCCAAATCAAGTAATGCATCTCTTATCTGTGCAATTTGCTCCATTATATGCTTCACACTCTCAACATAACTTTCCTAATGTGTTTGTGAGAATGACATTATTGTCAACCCCTATACATTATCTTTGAAGATTTTCTATCGCTCGGTAGAAGAGAAAAACAATGTGTAGATGCGTTGTATCACTCCGAAGAAGGATACAACTTTGGAACAACAATTCACCATATCACATAATGCTAGATTTGGGCTATGAGCACCACATGGAGTATAGAAAGCTCGAGGAATCATTTCATGTACTCTTTTTTGTACATCTTTGTGCTTCTCGCTCATATTAGATCCATTGTCATACATTTGCCCTCTAATGTCATCAATATCCAGATCGAATTTTATCAAAGCCTTTTGAAGCTCGGTTACAAGTCCAAGTCCTGTTGTATCATCTACCTTCAAAAATTCAAGCCAATGTTCTTCAACTGTAGGTAAGTTTGTCAAATCATTTACAAATCGTACAATTAAAGATATTTGCTCCTCGTGACTTGCATCTGGAGTGATAACTAGTATAACTGTGAAATATTTTGCATGTTTAACTTTCTTGACAATTGAACTTCTCATCTCATTAGCCAACAACTGTATCAACTTATTCTAAATTTTTTTGCCAAGATACGTATATTGAATCTTTCTTGCTTACCTGAGAGAAGATCTTCAAGACCAAGTGCGCTCTGTCGCTCAATGCCACACCATTGAGAAAGGCGTCGGCCACAACAAACAAGGTCCCAACTTGAGTGGCCAGTGGCCTCTTCGGAAGACAATCAGGCACTACCCCTGGTGGCTGGTTATTCTTACTCTGCTGCCAACAAACAAGAACATGGATGTGAGCCTGTGATCTGGGGAGAGAATACTCTTCATGATTTTTTGAACTAATATAGCCAGGTATGTCTTTCTTATATACAATCCAATTTTTACACGCCACCCATGATACTCCCAAGTTAACAACATGATCACATGACAAGTACAGGAAAAAAGGGTGAACTATAGTGGAAGCTAATAAATGGGAAGATAAAAAATAATTAAATGAGAGAAGAAATTACTCCCATTATTTAAATTTCACCTTAGAAAAATTATTCTAAACTGACCAAGAAATTTCAACTCAAATATTATGAATTCATAAAGATTTTAAGCACATATAATCAACATAATCACAATTTACAAACAATACATTGTTAGTAAGAGTAAACTTACATAAGATGTTGAGTCAGTTGGCTTAGGAGGAACAGTTTCCAAGCCAAGTCGGCTCCGATTCGGGTTTTCCTTGACTGCTTCAGCTAAAACAATCCTCTCGAATTTTAAATCAAAGTGGAAATGACTTTGAGAAATCTCTCCAACATGTTGTCCGTGTGGAGAAAACGGAGGCTAAATAAATTCCAAATCAATGTAAACATTCAAAATTAGTAAGTAACATAAATTTGCATATAATTTCAATTAATGACAAAATAACAAATTTTATCATGTGCATAAGCAATTGAAAGTTGGTATTAGACAGTAAGATAGATCATGTTCTCTAGGCTACAAAGCTATGGATTCATAAAATTCTAAGAATAAACAAGTTAATGAATTATACCGATGGTGTAATTTTATACTCCGGTTTTATAACAACCCTAATCCCAATTCCAGCTGCAAATGAAACAAAATAATTAAAAAAACCCACAAATCATACAAAACATACACATCTAAAAATCTTTGGCAACCGAAAGAAAGAGCAGAAGAGACATACAATTGATACATCGATGAATTAATTCATCATATTATATTTTGCTTGCTATTTCAAAAAAAAAAAAAGAAAGAAAGAAAGAAAGAAAAAAAAAAGAGAGTACCAAGTCAACAAGTCCAAGAGAAGAGGCCCAAAAGCTGCAGCCTGCAGGCCTTCGAGTCTACGACCGACCGTCACCAACGAGCAGCGGAGCGGATGGGAGGTTGCGGACCTACGGGCTGTAGTCTATGGAGTGCGGAGCAGGCGCTGTCCTGTAGCCTGTAGAGTGTAGAAATTAAACTGTAGACTTGATTACTTGAAGTCTTGAAATTCAATTGACTTCTCAAAGATTTTGGGAACCGATGGCAGAAGCCAAAAGGGCTGAGGCGAACTGGTGGCAGACCGGTGGTGGATTGTGGAGTGACCTAATGGTGGAGACGACACAAACTCCGATGACGAGCAGTGTATTTCAGATTTGGGAATTTTTGGTAAATGGTCGTGGATATTGGATTTGGATATAAGTTGGGTTGGGATTTAAGGGTAAATGGATTGGGCTGTAATTTAGTTGTTGGAATAGGCCGGCTGAACTTGTTGGGCCAAAACTTAGTCTTAGGCCTGAGGAGCAGGCCTCATTGGCCTCGCCCCAGGACTGGGCCTGCATCCCATTCACCCCCATCCACAAATTGAACCCTAGTAAACCAAAAATCTCTTTACTAAGCCTATCAACAAAGTCCTAAATCACCCCAATTGGCATCCGAGCTCTCGACGCGAAGGAGAGAAAATATCTAGTACTTCAAGGCGAAGCATGGAGATAAACTCGTGGGACATCGGGGTTTGCCAAAATTGACAATGAGATTTGAGGGAAAAATGATTTTTATGTGGGTGACTCTGCGATGAATGAGGCGATGTGGAATGAAGAATCAGCAAGCGGTGGGCCTTAGCACCTCGGGGACTATGCTACGACCTACGGGCTGTAGTCTATGGAGTGCGGAGCAGGCGCTGTCCTGTAGCCTGTAGAGTGTAGAAATTAAACTGTAGACTTGATTACTTGAAGTCTTGAAATTCAATTGACTTCTCAAAGATTTTGGGAACCGATGGCAGAAGCCAGAAGGGCTGAGGCGAACTGGTGGCAGACCGGTGGTGGATTGTGGAGATAGTGGAGTGACCTAATGGTGGAGACGACACAAACTCCGATGACGAGCAGTGTATTTCAGATTTGGGAATTTTTGGTAAATGGTCGTGGATATTGGATTTGGATATAAGTTGGGTTGGGATTTAAGGGTAAATGGATTGGGCTGTAATTTAGTTGTTGGAATAGGCCGGCTGAACTTGTTGGGCCAAAACTTAGTCTTAGGCCTGAGGAGCAGGCCTCATTGGCCTCGCCCCAGGACTGGGCCTGCATCCCATTCACCCCCATCCACAAATTGAACCCTAGTAAACCAAAAATCTCTTTACTAAGCCTATCAACAAAGTCCTAAATCACCCCAGTTGGCATCCGAGCTCTCGACGCGAAGGAGAGAAAATATCTAGTATTTCAAGGCGAAGCATGGAGATAAACTCGTGGGACATCGGGGTTTGCCAAAATTGACAATGAGATTTGAGGGAAAAATGATTTTTATGTGGGTGACTCTGCGATGAATGAGGCGATGTGGAATGAAGAATCAGCAAGCGGTGGGCCTTAGCACCTCGGGGACTATGCTAAAAGAGAAATGTCTCGATTTCGTGTGGCAGCCAAAAACTGTGAGATTTGAGAGAGGTGATTTTCACGTGGGTGACTCTCTAATGAATGAGGTAAAGTGGGATGGAGAATTCATTAAGCAGCGTCGCCAAAGGGCTTGGTGGCTTCGGGGACTACGCTAAAAGAGAAATGCCTCGATTCTATCGATAGCCAATACCTCTGTGGTGGAGGGGGTGGAGTAGGATTAAGGTTTGGGTTGCCATTTTTGTCTGGATTATGTATTTCTTTAACCAGTAGGAAGGTTGTAGGCGAATATGGTGGTTAAGTTTAGAGCTTTGAGATGGTGGTTGTAGATGATTTGAGGTGTTGGCAGCGACTGTAATCGTGAGTCTGAAACAAGGATTTCTTTAACCAACAGAAAGGTTTTAGGTGAAGGTGGTGGTGGTGGTTGTGGTTAGTGAGTTGAGGTGGTGGCGATGGCTGCAACGGTGGAGGAAAATTAGGTTGTTTCAAGCGGTGGTGATGTAGATGCTAGAGTGACTTCTCAAAAACTACATTTTCTCGTAGGTGTGGAAAGCATTGAAGAGTCCAACGCATACTGCTGAATAGCTTGTGTCTGGAGTCGCTGGACGCGATACACCTTAACAATCTGTTCACCTAAGGCAGTAGTTCAGTCGTCCTTGTAAACTCAGTATTCGCATAGTGATAATAAATTCTACAATGATTACCATGCGGGAGTGGACTGAATAGCTCTTGTGGCTAATTATCCGAATATTTGTGATCAATAAATTATATGTGAGCTAATAAAATGTATGATTTATAATTGTGACCTACAATTTGTGATTTCATGATTGATAAATAAATAGTGATAAATTAATTTGAAAATTTGTGACCTTCCGTGATCGATAAATAAATTGTGATCAATTAATTCGATAATTTGTGGTCTATACATTTTTTTATTTGTGAACAATTATTGGATAATTTTGACGAGTTATTGGTAATTGCGACCATAAAACTTGTAATTTGTAACTAATAAATAATACATGACCGAAGTATGTGATTGTGACTAAATGTGTTGTGACCTAAAATGTGTCTTTGTGATCGATAAATAAATTATAATCAATCAATTTGATAATTTGATCGAATAATATGTGACCTAAAAACTATGTTATTTCGTGATTAAATTTGTAATTCTGATTTACAATTTATGACTTTGTGACTAATAAATAAGTTATGACAATTAGTTAATAATTCGTGATAGAGAAATAACTTGTGAGTAATTAATTTTGATAACACGTGATATAGCAATAAGTTGTGAGCTGTACATTTTATGATTTGTGATCGAGAAATAAGTTGAAATCAATTATTAGGTAATTGTGATTGATAAAAAGAAGTAATTTGTGATCAACAAATAATACTTGACCTAAAAATACGTGATTATCAATAAATTTGTAATTGTGACATACAGTTTGTGTCTTTATGGATAATAAATAAGTTGTGATCAATTAATATGATAATTTATAACCATACAATGAGTTGTAATCAGTTAATTTAATAAGTTGTGTCCAATAATACTTAATGACCTATAAAATGTGTAATTTACGAGTAAAATTATAATCGTGACATATAAATTGTGTCTTTGTGGCTGTGACCTTAATGGTTTGTGATTAGTATGTGACCATGATTATAAATTATGTGTTATTGTAATCATGATCCCTTTTTTTAATTTTTAAGTCACAAAATTTTATAAGATGTCACAAAATGATTTTGGAACCTGTGAGATCTGTAAGAGAGATTGTGACCATTCAAAAATCAAGTGGTCGCATTTGTGTTGTGACATATAATTAAAATTAAAAAGGTCACAATCATATCCCATACAATTTATGGATCAAGTCACACTTACACAAGGTCATAATTATGGTCACATACGACAAAATGTATGGATCACAATCACATATGATGTCACAAATCAAATAATGAATAGGTTACAAGTAATTTATTAATTATAAATTATACGATTAATTGGTCATATCACTAATTTTTCTTGGCACAAATCAATTAATCGATGACAATCACTAATATTTCTATTAATCACAAATCACACCATTTCCCTTGAATTTCAAGGCCCATCTCACCAACAAATCACATAATTTTCATTAGTGTCAAACCACACCATTTTCCTTGGCACAAATTTCATTAATTCTATCGTCCATATCACAAGATTTATATTTCCTATCTAAAATAGAATTTGTATTTACCGTCGTGTCTAATGGAAACAAGCTTCCATTTTTACATGGGAAAAATAACTAAAGTGGAAAGACAAATGAAAGCACATCCACTGTAGCAGCCCCCGCATATAAAACAATTAGTTTGATACTAATTTACTGCTCTACAAATTCTGCCAATTCTGATTCCCAATGCCGACAAGAGCGATTCCGTTCCACTGATTTTGATAATAATATTTTCCAGAGTCAAGTGAAATTTTAGATTTCTATGTTCCACAACTCAAACTTTCATGGACAATTCACCAGATCCAGATATATTCCCCAGTTCATTTCACTAGTCGTCAACTACAGCTCATGTCAAATTATTAAATGAAAAAAATCTACATTGCAAAAGAACAATTTAAAGTTTATCAAACAGTTAAAATAGCAAACCCATATACTTGCATATACATGTGCAAATATGTATGTGTTTTACAACATGCTTTTCCATTCTTGAAGTGAGTGAGTATGTTGCCGAACTCTTTGTTGGAAATGGTGGGTCTATTGGGTCAACTTTGACCACAATTTTAAGTGGGACCCGATGTTCGATGTATCAAGATTAATGTTCAATTAAATTCTACGTTCCGAGTAGATGAGTGTAGAATATTTAATTGTGAAAAACCATTTCAATATGAATGAGAAATTATGGTTGAAAGTTGGATAATAAATAAGAGGATAAATGGGAAAGAATTGAAAAAATGTTCCAATCCCACATAGGTTGCAAACACAACTTTGAACCACTTAATAAGCTTCAAGTTTGGAAATGGGTTTGGGCCCCAAGGGGTACCAATAGTCTTTTAAAGGGAGGAGTCTTAGACAATGTCTAGACTAGTCCAAAGGCCACACGCGCGCCGCCGCCGCCGTCCGTCCGACCGGCCGGGTCCGGGTTAAAATTAATTCAATTTATTTTCGATTTAAAAAAAAAAATTGAATTTAATTTTTTCCTCCCTTTGACAGTTTACTAACCGACCCATCAGTTCGAAGAAACTGTGCATTAAGTGGCGTGAGGGAAACTGCCCAAAACCGTCAACTTTCTTCCTCTATTTGAATAGTCCTCATACAACACAAAGAAACACACGAAAAATTTCCTGCATACATATATCATACATCTCTTCTTCCTTGCATCAGTCTGCGGAGAGTATTTTCATTCGTTCTGGTTCGTTGTCTTGTAGTCGAAGTGCTGCTTCTGCAAGTGTGATCGTTGTATCTTGGGAGACGCTTTACCATATACCGTAAGCACCGTGTGACGGGGTAAAAACGTCTTAAGGACAGAGAGCCTTGTTCTCGCCTCGATCATCCTCCTTCCGAATTCTGGACTTCTTTCTTTCATAGTTTTTCGAACATAATAGTCTACTTTACTGTTTCTACAAATCATTTTCTGCTTTATTGTTTCTGCAAATCATTCATGGAAAATCTATTTCATACAAACTTTTAAAATTTTAACCAACAATCTTAAGACGTTTTTAGTTTTGTATAAACTATTTCCATAAACTGTACTTGTGTATGTAAAGTTAATATTCTGCAGAATTTTAATTTATAAATTCTGACTGGTTGATCTTCTGTTATGAAAACAGAAATGGCTAACACTGTTGAGACCAATGCAATTCCCCCTGCTGTGACTGTAACGCCAACTGTGGCTACTGTAATGCCGACGATATCTGGTCCTTCTGGCTCAACTCATGTTCCTCACGGAGAAAAACCTGAAAAATTTAATGGGGTAGATTTTAAGAGATGGCAGCAGAAAATGTTGTTCTATCTCACCACTTTGAACCTGGCAAAATTTCTCACGGAGGATCCTCCTACTTTTCAACGAGAAAATAATCGAGCTTCGATTATTGCCTTGGACGCATGGAAACATTCTGATTTCTTATGCAAAAATTATGTAC